GGACGAAGGCTTTGTGCAGCCCAAGCCAGAGAAAGATAGCAACATGAATATGAAGAACTCCGAAAGAAACAAAGACTTTCTGCCGCGGGCGAAATAAACTGTATAAGAACTGCTACCTCGAAGCAGTTGGTGTGGACGGGGAGGTCAAGGCACCAGTGAGGGGGTGCTTTCTTCTCGTTCACCCGTATCATCGACCGGGGGTGATACGCTGTCCGTTTTTGGTGGTGGCTATCGGACTGTTATTACGGTCGCGAAATAAATTTTATTTTTCATATTTTTATTAAAATTGGCTGACTCGCAATTTTCATTTATAACATCTGTGAAGTGTGACCACTTGGCACATCAATGCCCCTTTGCTGCCTGTGAAATCTGGCTCTGCTTTAGGGCACTGGCACTCCAGTCAGGAGCCAGGAGTTTCCCTTGCCATGCTTGGGAGTTTCCCAGAACTGTTCCCTTAGCCCAGGTTCACACCAGGTCCTAATCACCAGCCTATGTGCCTTCAAGCACCATCCCCAAGGTGTGTGCATTTTTCCTATCCCTTTGCGAGGCTGGATGTAGCAGGTTCCTCCAGCCCATGGTGGCTCAGAGCACTCTCCTTTCTCACCAGCTCTTTGGAGCCACTCTGTCCCTTTGGAGCCACTCTGTCCCCCCTCCTCCAGGTTTATTCTGCAGGTGCTGAGTATGGCAGTTGTCTTGCCCAGGAGTTGGAATTCTGAAAAGGTCGTTCCCTGTGAACAAACGTAACTTTATTTCAATAACTAAATCAACTCCAGTGTGTGTGTGCAGAGAGGAGTGTGGTCAGGACAGAGCAGGGTTTTGACCCTGAGGCTGCCTTTGGATCAGCAGGCTTTGCCCAAGCAGGATACACTTGCTGTGCACTGCAATGTGTCCTTGATGCTGCCCACCCTGGTGCTCAAGAAACATTTTCAATTGTCTCCAGGCCGATGTGGATGCCAATCCAGTCATAGAAGTACTGAGTGGAGGTGTAGATTCCAGGCCGCTTTGCTCTAGCACAGCCTCTTCCCCAGCTGGTCACTCCAACAATCCAGAAGAAATCACTGTTTTTCTCCTGGCACATGAGAGGACCACCACTGTCACCCTGCAGTAGAGCACAGAAGATTAAGGTGGTGTTAGGTGGCCCCTGTCAGCACTGGGGCTGTCTCCATCTCTTCCACAGCCCATGCCAGAGCTGTACCCAGGCGCTTGAGCCTCCAGAAATCTAACTGTGAGTAGCTTGGGGTCCTATAGGGTAGGGCTCTCTCTATTGTCTCTGCACAGGACTCCTGGATGTGCAGAGGATGGATGTTTGGCACCTGGACCTCTGCTACCAGGAGCATTAGCTGGGTTCTTGGGGTTTCTGGCACAAGGGGAGTCCTGGGCAGGCAGGTGTGGATGGGGAGTGTGTGGGAAGCCCCCAGAGCAGTCGGGGGGGAGCTGGGGCTGGGAGGGTGACTGAGTGGCCGGGCAAAGCAGGCCCTGGGCTGTGTTGGGGCGGTGCTGCCCTGGCTGCCAGTCCTGCTGGGGGCTGAGTGGCTTGTGGCACGCTCCTACCTGGCAGGTGTCGATGCGGCCGTGAGGGTAACCAGCACACACGTTGTGGATGTGGACTTTCCCTGCATACCATCCACTACTGTTGCAGAGCTGGACATCAATGAGCTGGACCTTGGCCTCCTGTAGGACATCACTTGAGTTTTGAGCTGTGAGCAGAGAAAGGAATTATCCCCCTGTAGCTCCTTGCCAATTCTGCTCCACTGCTTTAGGGGATCCCCTTTCCTAGGGCATGGTTTTGTCTCTGCAGAGGCACTGGGGTGCTATGATCCTGTTGCCTGCCTTTGGGGAGCGGGCCAGGCCCATCTCTGCAGAGGTGTACATACATCAGCCTGGGTTTGGCCTCTGCTGTGGGGAAGCGCAAGCTTTCTCCTCAGTGTGCTGAGCTGGCTCTGGAGTCTCTCTTGGGAACTCACCTCTGGCAGCAGTAGAACCCCAACCTGCCACCCAGCAGTTCTGCAGCTCTGACAGGTTTAGGGTGGGGTCAGCCACACAGGCCAGCTGGACATAGGGATTGCAGTCAACAGGCTTGCTCAGTTCCAGCAAGGCAATGTCATTACTTTTGTCACTTGGATTATAATGTTCATGACGCACTAACTTCTTAATCCGTCGCAGTTGTGCTCCATGTCCTGGCTTAGTCAACTGGGTGGCGCCAATCACCAGATATACCATGCCAATTTTCCTGGAAAGCAGATGAAGAGAGGGCTGGGAGGGAGCAGAGCCATGTGCCACAGCAGCCCAGCAGTTGCCAGATCTCTGCTTTGGCAAGGCAGAGAGGGAGCAGTGCTCTGGCAGATGTGAGTGCCTTCACACACAACTTAGGCTGAGGGAATGTCAAGCTAGAGGCTGCTAGGAAGCCTTGGCACAAGCCCAGGCTTCTCCTGAACAGTGTGCCAACCTGGCTGCTTGAGAGGAAAGGGAATGGGAGTAGCAGGTGATGCTGCTGACAGAGTACCTGTTGGTGGGGATGTCCCCATTTCTGGCATGTCTTTACCTGATCTTGTCAAAGCAGTGGGCTGCTGTGAGGACCCACTCTGCAGTGATGAGAGATCCCCCACAGAGGTGTCTTGTGCCTGGTATTGCAGGATGCTTAAGGCTGACAATCCAGGGCCAGGCTCCTGGCTTGGCATCTGCACCACCTACGATGCGTGTTGTGCTGTCGTCATGATCCATGTACTCATACTCATACACCATGGGTCGGAGCCCACATATCCCTCTGCAAGCAGAAAGTAATTTCCGTGCTGCTTCATGGCCTGCTGTGGCTCAGGCTGAAGCTCAGCCCTCTGCCCTCCCCACAAGGGCTTGCATGCACAGCAGGCCAGGGAAGCCCACGGGGTGTGCGTCTGTCCGTGCCAGCACCTGGTTGCTGGCAAGGAGCTGAGGCTTCCTGTGGTGGGTGGGAAGCTCTGGCCTGGTCATGGGGGACAGGCAGGTCCCCTCCAGGGAAGGCCACGGCTCCCTCCCAGGGTCTGGGGCCACTTACCCACAGTTGTCCCATGACCCGTGCATCATCCCAGCCATGGTCAGCAGGATGAGGAGGCCGAGCCAATTCATGGCTGCCAGAGGCACATGTCAGCTGCAAGCACTGAGGGCTCCATGCAGCAGCACAGCCACAGCCGCAGTGCCTGCAGCAGCCGTGCTGCCTGTGGTGCCCCGGGGCTGATGTCACAGTGATGGGGGTTCTGTGTTCTGGGCACTGTGGTGTTCTGTGGCACGGGGACCCACTGGGGGAGGGGCAACATGGAATCAGTGAGCCACAAAATGGTTTGGGTTGGAAGGGACCTTGGTGATCATTTGGCTCCAACACCCTTGCCTTGGGCATGGAGGTATGGCCTTCACTAGAACCAGTTGTTCAGAGCCTGGCTCAGAAGCTGTTCTTGAACACTTTCAGGAATGGGATATCAACAGGTGCTCTGGGCAACCCATGCCTTTGCCTCAGTACTCTCAGAATCAAGATTTCCTTCCTTTGATCCTAGCTGAAGCTACCCTTATTGTAGCAAGATGTCCCCAATGTGGGAATAATGAACATTGACTCCATGATTGCAGAAGGCTGATCAATTGCTTTATTGTACTATACTATTAAGAAAAACCCATTGCCCTTGCCAGACAGTCACGACACACATGTGGATCCAATTGGTCAATGAATCCAAACCACCATCAACAGAGTGTAATTAAAAAATCACCCTTTGGTAAACAAATGTCCATAACACATTCCACATGTGCACAACCACAGGTGCAGCAACTGGAGATAAGAATTGTTTCTCATTGTTTTCTCTGAGCTTTCTCACAGCTTCTGACAGCTTCCCAGGAAAAACCTGAGAGAGCTATGTTTCTCTCTGTTCAGAGGATATGTGATTGCCACATACCCTCTGTCACTGTAAAGCCATTGCCCCTTGTCCTATCAGGACCTGCCCTTGTAAGAAGGTTCTCTGCTGCTTTCTTTAGGCCCCTCTTCTTGCAGGATGAGGCTCTGCAGTCCCCGGGGCAGGCAGCAGCTGAGGAATCCATTTGGCTTCCCGCGGACTGGCCGATCCTCATTGTGGATCTGTAGGATTGTTTCTTTACAATTCCTTTGCATCCCAATGACAGGCCGAAATTTGCCTTCTCGGTGCCAGCAGTCAACAACGCTGAGCCCGCACAGAGATATCAATGGAGGACCCTTCCCCAGGGCATGAAGGCTTCCCCAGCCATATGCCAATGGTATGGAATATGACATCTGTGAGTCTGCTGGGAGAATCCTGAGGTTGAATGGGTACGGAAACCTGCTCTGACTGGGTGACAGTAGTGTGAATAGGAAATCAGCTGGGGCAACCATCAGCTCGTTGGAGTCACCTGTGTCTCCAGAATGATCACACAGGGGAGTTTCCTCAGCACTTTGGCAGCCCAGATGGGACACAAGGGCACCACTGCTGGAGCATTTGTCAACAGCCTTGGTGTTGCAGGTGGTATTGGCCCACTCACCTTGGCCTTCCATGGCATTCCTGGTGTACTTTTCCACAGTTCCTGCCAGGTTCCTCTCCCCAGAATGACCCCAGCACTTCCTCTGAGTATCTGTGAAGTGTGACCACTTGGCAAATCAATGCCCCTTTGCTGCCTGTGAAATCTGGCTCTGCCTTAGGGTACTGGCATTCCAGCCAGGAGCTAGGAGTTTCCCTTGCCATGCTTGGGAGTTTCCCAGAACTGTTCCCTTAGACCAGGTTCACACCAGGTCCTAATCTGCAGGCCATGTGCATTTGAGCACCACCCCCAAGGTGTCTGCTTTTTTTCTATCCCTTTCCTAGGCTTGATGTATCAAGTTTCTCCAGCCCATGGTGGCTCATGGCACTCTCCCCCTCTGACCAGGCATTCTGGCTGTGAGTAGCTCTTTGGAGCTGCTCTGTCCCTTTGTGCCTGGCACATCTGCCCTCAGGCTCATTCTGCAGTTGCTAGTTGTGGCAGTCCTTATTTTGCCCAGGAGCTGGAATTGCACTGACTTTGCCCAGGAGTTGGAATTGCACTGAAAACATGGTTCCCTGTGACCATAGGCAACTTTACTTCAACAACTAAGTAATCTCCAGTGTCTGCATGCACAGAGGAGAGGAGTGTGGTCAGGACAGAGTTTTGACCCTGAGCATTGCCTTTGGATCTGCAGGCATTCCCCCGCAGAAAACAATTGCTATGCACTGCAATGTGCCCTGGATCCTGCCCACCCTGCTGTTCAGGAAGCACTTCCAAATGGGCTCAGCCCCATGTGGGCCAGAATCCAGTCATAGAAGTACTGAGTGGAGGTGTAGATTCCAGGCCGCTTTGCTCTAGCACAGCCTCTTCCCCAGCTGGTCACTCCAACAACCCACCAGTAATCAGCATGGTTGTCCTGGCACATGAGAGGACCACCACTGTCACCCTGCAGCAGTGCACAGAAGATTAAGGTGGTGTTAGGTGGCCCCTGTCAGCACTGGGGCTGTCTCCTTCTCTCTCACAGCCCTTGCCAGAACTGTATTCAGATGCTTGAGCCTCCAGAAGCTTGGCTGTGAATGGCATGGGGTCCTATAGGGTAGGGCTCTCTCTGTCGTTTCTGCACAGGACTCCTGGATGTGCAGAGGATGGATGTTTGGCACCTGGACCTCTGCGCTGCCAAGAGCACTGGCTGGGCTTTCTGGGCTTTTGGCACAAGGGGAGTCCTGGGCAGGCAGGTGTGGATGGGGAGTGTGTGGGAAGCCCCCAGAGCAGTCGGGGGGGAGCTGGGGCTGGGAGGGTGACTGAGTGGCCGGGCAAAGCAGGCCCTGGGCTGTGTTGGGGCGGTGCTGCCCTGGCTGCCAGTCCTGCTGGGGGCTGAGTGGCTTGTGGCACGCTCCTACCTGGCAGGTGTCGATGCGGCCGTGAGGGTAACCAGCACACACGTTGTGGATGTGGACTTTCCCTGCATACCATCCACTGCTGTTGCAGAGCTGGACATCAATGAGCTGGACCTTGGCCTCCTGTAGGACATCACTTGAGTCTTCAAATGTGAGCAGAGAACGGAATGAGACCTCAGCAGCTCCTTGCCAGTTCTCCCCCTCCCCTGTCTGGAGAGGCTACCCTTCCCTTGGTAGTTTTGCCTCTCCAGAGGCACTGGTGCGCTGTGATCCTGCTGCCTGCCTTTGAGGAGCAGGCCAGTCCCATCTCTGCAGATGCGTACGTCCATCAGCCTGGGTTTGGCCTCTGCTGTGGGGAAGCGTAAGATGTCTCCCCAGTGTGCTGACCTAGCTGTGCAGGTAAGAGTCTCCCTTGGGAACTCACCTCCTTCTGCGGTTGAACCCCAGCCAGCAATCCAGCAGTTTTGCAGCTCTGAGACTCTCAGGGTGGGGTCAGCCACACAGGCCACCTGGATGTAGGAGCTGCACTGTACAGGCTCATTCAGTTCCAGCAAGGCAATGTCATTACTTATATCCCTTTTCTTATAGTTTTCGTGACGAAATAGCTTCTTAATCTTGCGCACTTGTGCTCCAGGGCCTGGCTGAGTCAATTGGGTGGCCCCAATCACGACATTCAAGATGCCGATTTTCCTGAAAGGAAGATGGAGGGAGGGCTGAGAGGCAGCAGAGCCATGTGCCACAGCAGCCCAGCAGTTGTCAGACCTCTGCTTGGCAAGGCAGAGAGGGAGCAGTGCTCTGGCAGATGTGAGTGCCTTCACACACAACTTAGGCTGAGGGAATGTCAAGCTAGAGGCTGCTAGGAAGCCTTGGCACAAGCCCATGCTTCTGAGCAGTGTGGCAGCCTGGCTGCCTGAGAGGAAAGGGAATGGGAGTAGCAGGTGGTGCTGCTGACAGAGCACCTGCTGGTGTTGTGGGGTGTCCCTATTGCCTGCTCCTTCTTACTTGATCTTGTCAAAGCAGTGGGCTGCTGTGAGGACCCACTCTGCAGTGATGAGGGACCCTCCACACCAATGCCCTGGGCCTGGTATCCAGGGGTGTTGGATGCTGACCATCCACGGCCAGGCTCCTGGCTTGGCCCCTGTGCCACCCACAATGCGTGTCATCGCGTCATCATGAGGTATGGAGTCAGACACCATGGGTCGGAGGCCG